CTGTGGTAAGTGCTGGTTGCCAATAACAGCTATAATTAGTTAATAGACTAAAGAAGTTGAAAATCCAGTGCCCACAGTGTCTGAATTTGCCCGCTTGAACTTTTCGACATTTTACTACATTTCAGGCTTCAAACATAAAGATATAAAATGTAAATTTTTTGTGAAGAATCAGCAAGAAGTGGGACACAATCATGAAGTAGAACGAATTTTATTGGATATTCGAAACTTTAAAATAAAAAACTGAAATAATGGATTTACAAAATTATTCAGGACCCCTGATTTGATACTTTGTAGCGCCACCTATAGCTGCGTGACCCGTTCCATTCTAGATGCTGCTTTCTGTTTTGGATCATCGTCTTGTTGGAAGATAAATCTTCATCCTGGTCTTCTGCAGACTCCAGCAGGTTTTCCTCCAAGATGTTCCGTATTTTGCTCCATCCATCTTCCATCAATTCTAACCATCGTTTCTGCTGAAGAAAAGCAGGTGCAAACCATGATGCTGCCACCACCATGTTTGACAGTGGGGATGGTGTGATGAGCTCTCTTGCTTTTACACCAAACATAATGTTTTGCATTGATGCAAAAAAGTTGGATTTTGGTTTCATCTGACCAGAGCTCCTTCTTCCATGTTTGCTGTGTCTCCATTTTTATGGATATCTTTCAGAAATAGCTTCCTTCCATAAAGCCCAGATGTGTTCAGCATCTGACTGATTGTTGTCCCATGGACAGAGTCTCCCTCCTCAGCTGTAGATCTGTGCAGTTCATCCAGAGTGATCACGGGCCTCTTGGCTGCATCTTGGCTGCATCTCTGATCAGTATGATGTTCAGAGGAACTGCTGGGTTTTCGTAGACTCTCAGTGGTCTGATTCTCCTTCCATTTCAATATCGCTGCTCAGAGCACCTCTGGATGTTTAAAGCTGGGAAATGTATTTGAATTCAAATCCAGCTTTAAACTTCTCATCAACAGTATCTGGGACCTGCCTGGTGTGTTCCTTGTTCTTTATGATGCTCTCTGTGGTTTAAACAGACCGCTGAGACGATTTATGAGACCATTTATATATATATAGATATAAATATCCATCTATATAAATG